TCCAAAACCCGATTTTGCATTTAACGGTAATTCTTGGGGGGGGGGGTGTAACGCAGCACAAAGCAGACTATCAGGTGTAATGAACACTAGCAGAGTGTCCCATTAATATAAGCATAATACTCAAGACTAAAAGAACAGGATTTTGGAAATGACATTCACACATGTTGGTGTGCTACAGAATATTCAAGATGAGATCACATCACACCGCCAGTAAAAGGACTGCCGTTTTTCCATGCAAGAGGGTCAAAAATAAAATAAAAAATACACCAAGCAGATCAAAATATGTATTCTCAGTGAGTGAGGATTGAGACACTGAATTGCCTGCAAAAGTCATAGCATATATAATGCTATCCACAGATCTAGCAGCCAGACATCAGTACTATAGTCTGCAGATTCTGCTCAGCAAGCACATTCATCCACCTGAGCCTTGAGGAACAAAAATCAGGGATCAAGCCAGAAAGGTCATTCATGCCAAACGGCTACTAAGACCTCTCCAAAACCATCAACGAGGACTGGAGATAGTGGGAAGTTTTCCTGGGAAAACAAACTTTGCTTTCTGGTAAACACACTGACAATTTGAGAGTGGAAGTTAGAACTTCAATGTTTTACTGCCATCTGCACTTTCCAACACTTCCTGTTCATCTCCCCAATGGGGTAACATACAAAATTACCTAAGTAACCTTTAAGACTTCCCCAAAGTTAAAACAATTAAGATTTTAGGATTTAAGATATGATAGGCAAACCATAAAAATTTACTAAACTTACCAAACCCAGAGGTCCGATTTTGGGGGCCAGAGCCGAAGTGGCTCCTACCTCACCACCGGTGCATCTCAGGAAAACTACAAAGCAAAAAAAAGACACATGGAAGTTAACACAGAACTAATCAGCATCCAAACACCACTTCTAAATGCATTAGACATGTACTCAATCTTTCGGCACAGAACTAATCACACATAGACAAGTTCTGTTTCCTAAGAGGAGGTTTCTCTAAGCTCACCACTGGAATATACCCAGACACACCAGACTGGTATAGTGGCGGGTGGCTATCTAGGGAGGATGATTTAATGTGACACTAAACTCAAGAATCCTAAAAATGCATCCAAGTACCTTAACCATCTACAGAAATGTATCTTATTTGTGTATCACTCAGCTGTAGATCCTCAAATCATCTCTGAATTGGTGCTGACACCATCCTTCCTTCTGGAGGGTGGCTACTTTTGTACCACATGGTCCCTGTGTGTGTTGTAAAGTAGTCACCGCTCCAAGCTAACTCCTGTGATGGACTACAATCTCAAGTTTAGTTAAGACAGTTTAGTTAAGACTACAATGTCAATACATATCAGCCATCTGGGCAGCGAGCTTGGTGTGGTGGCTACATTACAACACACACAGGGACCATGGGGAACAGAAGTAGCCACCCTCCAGAAGGAAGGACAGTGTGAGCTCCAATTCAGAGATGATTGGAGGATCTACAGCCGAGTGATACAAAGATACATTTGTTAGTTAAGGTACTGCAATGCATTTAAGATTTAACTTCTGAGTTTAGTGTCACTTTAAAAACTGTATAAATGTGTGATATGACAGTTTATCACTCTTCTAATGTTCAGAAAATGCCAGACTTAATGAGGCGAGGCAATTATGTCCATCACACTTACCTTTGTCAACACAACCTAGAGATCTTTGGGTGCAAAATCTGCACACATTTTCTCTTAGCTCCCAGCAGATAACTAAATGTTGATGAACCCCCCACAGATCTCTATGGGTCTGACAACGAATCCCAGCTGCCTGCACTAGTACACAGTTTGCAAAAGGATGCTACTTAAATTGGAATCCTTAGGTCTGCGAGTCAGGTGAACACAGGCTTACTGCAAAATAAAGCAGCCATCTTTAAGATAAGCAGTACTTTGTCCATCAGCGATAAAGCACCAGGTTCACTAGCTTACAGTTCTCTCAAGCTTCATACCCAGACCCTCACTACACCACTGGCAGCAAGGCCCCCTAATGGAGCTCACACCGGGCCAAGAACTCTTCTCATCCCTATGTAATAACACTGGGTGCCAGAATAGCCATTTAAAAGAAAGACAGCTACAGAAACCCGTAAGGGTTTGCAACTCTTCCACACTACATGCTGAGTAAATAAACATTTTGCTAAGGCCTCATTTGAACTAACCCTGTTGACAGACATAGCATTTGTTTTATGTACTATGGTGTCAGTTCACAGCAAGGCGCTGCATCGGGCAGCCTGCACCCTACTGGAGTGCACTGTGAGGTGCTACAATACAACCCAATGCAGCACAGATTTGAATTGATAATTTTGTGGCATTTCAATAGCAATAGATAGGGAACAGCACAATATGCATCATCATAAAGCCCATAGACAACACAGACCCGCTGGCACAGAGTATACACAGCATAACATGCACCCGCTGGTGTGAATGGACCCCTAAGATGCACTTCAGAGCCACAAAAAATATATTACACAAACCCTACTGCTACCGATAATACCAGCTACTGTACAGATCAGGGTGACTGTGTCCAGGAGTTACTGGGGTATACAACTAGGAATCTGTGGCCCCATCCTCCATAGGCCTTAATGGTTATGTAAAAACAAATTAGCTAGAGAAGGGCCTCACTAGCAGTATACAGGGCCAAGGCTCCATCCAGCACAGGCCACAGCTTCTATACTGGGTCATCCACAGATCTGCAATTGAATGTAGACAGCACCAGTATCACTGTACCCCAATATTGGACCGGTCACGGACCCATATACACTACACCGAAGTCTGGCAAAAGAGCATGACGTCACAGCCTCGTCTATAACAATCTGCACAAGTGGGGTGAATGAAGAGAACCTGTCCCCAGCCTGAGGAGATGGAAAGCACATTACCACGCAGACACGTGACTCCGCTGCGGCTTGCCCGGGATAGGGGGCCCTCGGCTGGGCGGCTCGCATTCCCCCGTCCCGCCTCACGTACCGATTTTAATTTCGGTGGGGTCGAACTTAGGAGGCATGTCTGTGCCGGACTAGGGGAGCTCCGCTTCTCTCGGACCGGTTTCGGTGTCGGATGAACCCAGATTCGGGACGACCGAAGAACAGTTGCACCTCTACCAGCGGGGAAGCGGGATGAGAAAGAGGGCGTGACCAGGGCGCCGCCGAACTATTAAAGCGCCAGATCTCGCGGGAAGACTGGGTAGATATCGCGAGATCTTGGAGTAACGTCTTATAGCTGCCATCTTGTGTGTGGCAACACACACAAGATGGCCGGTTTAGTTAGAACTAAGAGGTTTGCCCAAGAAAGCTCTTCTGCACGAGCGCCAGCCGCGGCATTGCCCTATACACATACTCCACAGCAATGAAGTATTAAAATGAACTAGGATCACACTAATACAGCACGTTATGAAAGGAGAACTATAAGGTGAGTGCACTCACCTTATAGTTCTCCTTTCATAACGTGCTGTATTAGTGTGATCCTAGTTCATTTTAATATTTCATTGCTGTAGTGTAGTGTATGTGTATAGGGCAATGCCGCGGCTGGCGCTTCTGCAGAAGAGCTTTCTTGGGCAAACCTCTTAGTTCTAACTAAACCGTAAGTCAGGCAGTTGGTGAACTCGATAACTTGGAACTTTCGATAGAAAAGGCCTTCCTGGGCTGTGATCATGAAGCTGATCTTTACAAATAGTTTTTGTATATAGCTAGCAATCATATTTCAGATTGTAGCTTTTTAGTGTGACTGATGCTAGTTGTTCTGCATAAAGCTGCTGGGAGTAGGGTTACCACCTGGCTGGGATTCACCCGGACAGTCCAGTTTTTAAATCCTGTGTCCATATTTCGGGCCAGCTGTCACCCGGACACAAGATACTAAGTGCCGGCACTTTACATTTTTTGGCAGATGCGGCTGCCTAAGGTCCTATGCTTGCTGGGGACCTTGGCAGCCTTCCTGTGAGCAGCAGGCACCTGTAAACACCTCTGTCTTCGTGACACCATACTGCCCGCTTCTGTACCCCTCGGGAGACACATTACGCAGCCTACACAGCACTCGTGAAAGCCTGCATAGCCCACCTGAGACCCTACACAGCCACCTGAGAGCCTGTATAGCCCACTTGATAGGCTGTATAGTCCACTCGAGAGCCTGCGTAGATCACCTGAGAGTGCGCACAGCCAACCTAAGAGCCCACATAGCCCATCTGAGAGCCCGCATTGCTCACCTTAGACTGCGCACAGCCCACATAAGAGCCCGCATAGCCCACCTGAGAGTCCGCATAGCCCACCTGAGAGTCCGCACAGCCAAGCAGAGAGCCTGCATAGCCCACCTGACTCTGCACAGTCACCTGAGAGCCCACCTGACTCTACACAGCCACCTAAGAGCCGGCATATCACACCTGAGAATCCGCACAGCAACCTGAAAATTGCTGCACAAAGCGCTAGAGTGTTCGGGTTTCACTTGAAGAATAGGTAGCAACCCTAGCTGGGAGGCATCATAAAATGGATAGTTTATGTAGTGCCAGGACCCAGTGGCGGAGCTACACATTCCGCCACCCGGGGCAAAGACTCAAAGTAGTTCTCTCCTAGGAGAAGTTCCCCATCCACACCCCTCCCACACTTCTGGGCTCATTTCTTTTGCTGCTGCGGCGTCCATCCTGATCCATTGTGGAGGTGAGGCTTCAAATCACCTCATTGTACAGTGCTGCTGTGCTAATTAAAGAGCCACTTCTGGGCTTCACGGTGCACCTTCTATCTAATCTGTCATGGAGGAGAGACTTGAATGAAGTGATTTCAAGCCTCACCTCCGTGCTGGATCAGGAGGTGCACTGCCGCACCAAAAGAAAAGAACACAGAAGCGGGTCCAAAGATACTGATCCGACACGGAGGTCAGCCACACAGCAATACATTATACAGCACTGCAGAATACTACCAGCTATAAAGGACTACAAATCCCAGCAATATATTATACAGCAATGCAGAATACCACCAGCTATAGAGGACTACAAATCCCAGCAATATATTATACAGCAATGGAGAATACCACCAGCTATAGAGGACTACAAATCCCAGCAATATATTATACAGCAATGCAGAATAATACCACCAGCTATAGAGAACTACATATCCCAGCAATACATTATACAGCAATGCAGAATACCACCAGCTATAGAGGACTACAAATCCCAGCAATATATTATACAGCAATGTAGAATACCACCAGCTATAGACAACTACAAATCCCAGCAATCCATTATAGAGCAATACAGAATAATATACAGCTACATACTCTATGTTGCTCCTGGGTGGCAACTTGATGACTCCAGAGTCTCAGGAGGGCTGTGTGGGGTCTTCAGTGGGCTGTGCGGGGTCTCATGAGGGCTGTGCAGGGTCTCCAGTGGGCTGTGCGGGGTCTCAGGAGGGCTGTGCGGGGTCTCAGGAGGGCTTTGCAGGGTCTTAGGAGGGCTGTGCGGGGTCTCACAAGGGCTTTGCAGGGTCTCATATGGGCTATACGGGGCCTCAGGAGGGCTTTGCAGGGTCTCATGTTGGCTGTGGGGGTCTCAGGTGGGCTTTGTGTGGTCTCAGGAGGCTGTATGGTATCTCAGGAGGGCTGTGTGTGGTCTCTAGGAGGCTGTGTGTGGGCTTAGGGGGGCTGCGCGGGGTCTCACCAGCTACACACAGCTACATACAGCTACCGTGTTTCCCCGAAAATAAGACAGTGTCTTATTTTTTTTTTTTTGCACGAAATAAGACACTAGGTCTTATTTTCGGGGGATGTCTTACCTGGCTGGGGGAGGACCGGACGAGGTCCCGGAAGGCGGCGTGCTGTTGCCGGTCCCGGCGGATGATATTCCGCTTCCATCGTGCGTGCGGGCGGGAGCTGCGGCCGGCAGGCGTGTGGGCGGGAGCAGCGGCCGTTCTTAACATGTAAAAATCAATTACATGGGCAGCTACTACGGAAGTAAGATCTAGCGCTATCTTCAGGGATTTCTGTAATATAAGACCTACCCCGAACTAGGTCTTATATTCGGGGTAGGTCTTATATTACAGAAATCCCCGAAGATAGCGCTAGGTCTTACTTTCAGGGTAGATCTTACTTTCGGGGAAACACGGTACATACTCTATGTTGCTCCTGGGTGGCAACTTGATGACTCCAGAGTCTCAGGAGGGCTGTGGGGTCTCCAGTGGGCTGTGCGGGGTCTCAGTAATGTAGAATACCACCAGCTATAGACAACTACAAATCCCAGCAATCCATTATAGAGCAATACAGAATAATATACAGCTACATACTCTATGTTGCTCCTGGGTGGCAACTTGATGACTCCAGAGTCTCAGGAGGGCTGTGTGGGGTCTTCAGTGGGCTGTGCGGGGTCTCATGAGGGCTGTGCAGGGTCTCCAGTGGGCTGTGCGGGGTCTCAGGAGGGCTGTGCGGGGTCTCAGGAGGGCTTTGCAGGGTCTTAGGAGGGCTGTGCGGGGTCTCACAAGGGCTTTGCAGGGTCTCATATGGGCTGTACGGGGCCTCAGGAGGGCTTTGCAGGGTCTCAGGTTGGCTGTGGGGGTCTCAGGTGGGCTTTGTGTGGTCTCAGGAGGCTGTATGGTATCTCAGGAGGGCTGTGTGTGGTCTCTAGGAGGCTGTGTGTGGGCTTAGGGGGGCTGCGCGGGGTCTCACCAGCTACACACAGCTACATAGGGTCTCAGGTTGGCTGTGGGGGTCTCAGGTGGGCTTTGTGTGGTCTCAGGAGGCTGTGTGGTATCTCAGGAGGGCTGTGTGGGGTCCCAGGAGGCTGTGCGGGGTCCCAATAGGGGTCAGGAAGGTCTCTTGGGTGGCAGTGTTTCCCAGGAAGGAGGAGATGTGCGGCCATCATTGTAAACAGGCGCACCCAGTTCACAGGAAGGCTGCTGAGATCGCCAGCAAGCCAGGACCTCAGACAGCCGGTTCAGTTTCAAAATGTAAAGTGCTGGTATTGGTGTCTAGTAAATGGCTGGTATCGGTGCATCCCTAGTCGGTTGCTCACCCTACTGGCGGCACCCCTACTGATGCGGCGTCCAAGGCACATGCACCCCTAGTTTCGGCCCTGCCACCCAAGGGTAAAATGTTAAAGTGTGCCCTCCACTAACATCAGCTCTATAATTCAAAAAACTAAAAAAAAAACCTAAGGGAATGAAGGAGTTAACAAAATAATCACCATTAACCTAAAATATAATACATTTTAGGATTCAAAAAATAATTAGGGTAACTACAAATGTTATTCTGTGAATTATCTCTTTTATAAAGGGACTAGAACAGGGTTGGAAAACTTGTCCCTCCAGCTATGCTTTAACTACAAATCCCAACATGTCACTGCCTCTGGGAGTCATGCCTGTAACTGTCAGTCTTGCAATGCCTCATGGGACTTGTAGCTGGAGTTGCCCAGCTCTGCACTAGAATCATGTTTCTGGTACAAACCATTTCTTTTCATTTAATGCTACAAAAAAAATGCAAATTTTAAAAGTTTACAAATGAAGTAAATTTAGCTATTGATAAAAATGGATTATGGACTAATAAGGGCTAAATGTTGTTTTTGTCAATTTGCTTTTTACTTTACACACAAAACAATTCATGAATCAAAACTACAATAGTAGCTTTCATTCATAAATGGTTGCAGGGCTGGACCTGAAATGTCAAACTGATAGCTAGGTCCTGAAGATTACAAATGGAGAAGGCAGCTCTCCTTGTGTAATCATCAGAGTGCTGTGACAGCCAGTGTTCTATCACAGATTGTGACTGCGTTAGAATGTGTGACCGGGGGAGCGGGTTAATGTTTATTCTCACTGTGTAATGCCTATATAAGGTTGATGATTCTGTTACTGATGTGTCATTCTGAGCCTGATGAAGGGGACCCCCTGCGGCCCTGAAAGCGCTTGTATTGGATGGCAATGTGCAATTAAAATGGATCATTGATTTACAAAAACCGGTGTGCTGGTGACATTATTCCTTTTTAAAAAAAAAATGTTTTGACCGGTCACACAAGGTGTAGAATTCACAGCTTTCTCCGCTGTTCCCGGGCAGATCGGCATTGCAGATGGCAGGTGCAGGAGAACCGATCTGCCCTGGAACAGCTGATCAGTCCTGAAATCTCACTCCTATCCGACTTTGTATTGCACTCACAAAGTCAGAGAGAAGTGAGATTTCAGG